TTTATATAAAAATCTATTTCTGTATTTTTTAAATTTCTTTCTACTGGAATATTGATATTGAAGTCTTTCGCTGCTTCTTTTTTGAATTTAATCCAATTAGTTTTTCTGAATACGTATCTCTCCTTATTTAATTCATTTATTGGTAATTCGTTAGAGAAATGATCTAAATTGATGGGCACTATCAAAGCATGGTGGTCACTTTCATAATCTGCTGTTATAATTTYATCTTCTCCGTTTAGATTGATCGATAATCTAGAATCAATAATAATAACATCAAGAAAAGATTTTCCATGCACATACGTTGCTTGGTCCGGTCCTTTTATGGTGCATCTATTTATTGTATTATTATCATCGATCCAAGTTTTTAATATTTTTCCTCTCTCGTTACTCATGTTATCTCCCCAATCTAAATGTCTAGCATTAAGATCCCCTGCCAGGAGATAATAGTTTGAGGGATTGCTTAAATCCAGTATCATAAATAGTTTTTCTAATTCTACTATAAAGTCTTTCTTATTAATGCTGCTAGTTGCATATGCACTTATTATAATAAGATTCTCGTCCTTGAGTTTTAAGGAGATTGCAGTCCCTTCTAATATTTCATTGTTATAGGTTTTGCAATTTACTTGTTTAATTGCATTTTAAACAATTTTACATTGTTTAATTGCTCATCAATGTCTATAGTATGAATAGGCGGTGGTTTGTTGCCCCTTTTTTTGTTTTCGTTTTGCTCACTAGATTTGTAATCATTGTTCTGTATTGTTAATTCAGAGGAATAATTAGGTTTGGTATTCTYTGATAGTTTATCAAATTTATTACTTACTGAGACTGTATTTAAAGGCGTAAGAGCTATTTTGTTTTGCTTCTCTGGAGATAAAGATTTTTTCGGAATTTCCCATATTTTTAAATCGCAACCCACCTCATCGGATCGTACATGATCGTCATCATCCATCAYTGTTTCCACTTCATTGTGAATATTTATGTTAGAATCACTTTTGTGTGTATTAAGTGCAGTTGGACGTATTGTTGTTCTTTGTACAAGGTTAGGTTGAGTAAGGCACTGAGATTTATTGTTTCCTAATTCTCTAATTACTTGTTGGTATTGCTTTTCAAGACTCTCAGACAGATCCATTTTTGCCGGTTTTTGTCTACCACCGTTAGTTACATCACTTTCATGAGTGAATTCCCTATGCTTTCTCTTCTGCGAACTTTTAAGGTTAGGTCTATCTTTATATAAACTAACGTTAAATTTTATATTGGAATCGTCTTCATCCAACATTATAAAAGATAAATTGCTTCCATTATTATCAATAAATACAAGATAACAGTAAAAAACTGAAAACTACGATTATTTAATACTGTTTATTTACTACACGAACTAAGCACGTCTTTACGATTTGAGCGCCGTCACGAGACTCCACGAGAACTTGTATTTTCAGCACAGTATGGCCGTTAACGATAGAATTTATTATACTAAATGCTCTTGTCATGTACATCTTAATTTCAAGTATAAAAAAAAAAGAAAAAAGCAAAAGAAAACAAAAAACGGTAAAACAGGCCTAATTCGTTGATGCCACAACTAGCAGCTTCTACGACGTTGTAAACAGTTATGATACGACAAAGCATGTCGCTCATGACGAACATGGTTTTCATGGAAATCTTGGGATTGAACCGTCAAAAAGTTCTATTACTAATATAGATAGTTAAGAAGTTGACAAAGAATCTTGAAGTACGTGATTTTGTCTAAAAAAGAAAAAGATATTTTCAAAAAATGTTAAGTTTGATCATGACAACCATTGCGCGCCATGTGACCCGCCCTTCTTAATCGGCGTGATTTTACAACGTTGATAATGTCCGGTTTGTTGTACAATCGATGTACTTCAACGTTATGGAGTTTTCTCCATTCGCCCGTTTTGTTTTTTATATATATTTTATGTTATTACTAAATCATACGTTCATATTTAATGTTATTGCAACAGTAAATAGATTTGATAAAAATAAATGTAGAATTAAATGGAAAAGTCTATCTGCGAACTGGACGATTTTTATGTTAGTCTATTGTAACAATTAATTGTAGGATTAATATAGTTGTTTTCTTCTTACAGATAATAATCGCTGGATTTAACAACAAATCTTTGAGATTTTTTTCTGTTTGAACACCTTAATTAACTACTTTTTAAAATATAAGTATAAATGCATTTCTGAAAGCACACACATAAATTAAATATAAATTTAATTTATTAATTTTACACTAATTAATTTAAACACTAAAAATTAAATATAATTATTTAAAATTCTATTACAATATAACTGTACTAGATCAAAGAATACTGAATTTTTTGATAATATTGTACCGTCATCACGTTAATTACCTATTATCGCCTATTGATGCTCCCAGTGATAACTAAAATAATTTTGGTTACACGAAAAGTAGACTTGTGAGCTTCTGTATACTTCTGTATTTGATTGCACCAAGGTTTTTTTAAATGAAATTTATTTAAAGATACACTATGAACAACCTTAACTATATAAATGTAAATTAAATGAAACAAGGTACATAGTAAAAAATTTATAAATAAATTTTATGCAATCTTAATAGATAATCGATTTATTAATTATAATTGAATAAGTTTAACAACATACTTTTATGCAATTTCCATTGGTTCTTCAGCTAGAAAAAGAAAATAGATTTACATTTTTATATGGCCATTTTTATAAACATACGTTTTGAAATAGGTTTTAATAAATAAATCTTTAATATGTAAAACTTTATAACGTAATACGTGTCCACAGCGTGCATGTTTATGTTTATGTAAGTGATAAAAATGGGAGAACATGTTGATTTGAACATTTCTAAATTAAAGATCTGATCAGGTAAAAAAGAAATAAGCAGTTCTGTTCTGTGTGATCTTTGTTTATAAGTTAATTTTGGCAAAAAAAAATAAGAAAAGAAACAAAAGAATTGAAATTCTCAAAAAGAAAAAAGGAAAGTAAGGATATAAGTTATAATTACGTAATATTCTCTTAAAAATTGCTAGCGGGGAGAGATATGAATTTTGGTCATTCTTACAAATATTACTAATCTTTTATTTAATATTACTTACGTAATTCATTAAAGATGAAACCATCTTGATATTCTTTAAGAAATTGTGTTGATCTACTTTCATCGAGAAATAGAGAATAAACTCGTTTAACATCATCTATACTAACCTAAAAGTGCAAAGAAACAAAAATGAATATTATTGCCTTCATAAATATACTATTATCTAATTAAATTTACTTACTTCTGTACTTTTTCTACGTCGACTAACAAGAGATGCAGTTGTAATTAATTGTATAGCATATCTCAAAGATGCTTCTAAAGCAATTCTTGTAAGCACAGTCAATGCATCTTCTGCTATTTCGCAATCTTCTTCTTCACATCTGATTTTCAAAATTTCTTTCAATTCCTTTTCTTGATATGGAGTTGTAAGGACAATAATCATTCGATCAAGTAAATCAATGGGAATGCCATGAGGACTATTATAAGTAGTTCCCCTAATTCTTGCAATTCCTAACAATAATAAGTATACTCATATTAGTAAAAAAGTAATTTGTATACTTGATTTTAGATTAACTTATAAATTACCTCTGTTTGTTGCCATAATAACAACTGGAGCCATTTCGTTTTCTAATGCACGATTTAAAAAGGAAAAGCATTCAATATCTAACATATGGACTTCGTCTATAAACAATACTCCTGGTACTATTTCCGCTTTTCCTTCTTCACGCCATTCAGCAACTTTAGCATTTATTTGATCTCTTACTTCAGATTTAATCTCACCAGTATCACCAGAAAACAATGCCAAAAAACCATGAGTTCTACTATTTATAACATCAACTTCATGTAAAGTGACAGTATGAACTACTTCTTTTCGCTTTTGTAATTCGCCTTCAGGACATTGTACAAATCTTGTTTGTGATCCTGTTGCATCATAATCACGAGCTCTCGTAAATGAACGTCCCAATTTATTTATTTTTCCAGTTGCTTTGTCAATCGTGATAACATCACCAGCTTGCACCTATAGAAAATAAACTAATATTAATAAAATAAAGAAAAATAATTGTAAATATATATATATATATATGCATATTACAAAAATACATATATACTTTCTCTTTCATTAAACTATCAATCATTTTATTTCCTAAATCATAAATTGTTTCCATTTCTGTAGTCTTTAATGTCAATTTTCCAACTTTAGCACCAACACCTGTAGCAGGTCTATCAACTTGAATTTCAACTACTTCGCCTTCTATTATTTCAGTCTCTTCTTTTATTCTAACTCCTATAGATTTTCTTATAGCTTGAGTTAAAGCTTCTGTTTTGCTCATCTCCAAAGAGTAAATTTCAGATCCAGCCATGGATGTGAAAGGAGTATCAATTCCTAAAGCTTGAGCTAATCCCATGGCAATAGCAGTCTTACCAGTACCAGGTTGACCTGCTAATAAAACAGCACGTCCTGCTATTTTTCCTTCTTTTATCATCTCTAAGACAACACCGGCAGCCCGACGAGCCGAAGTTTGACCAACCATACCTTGAGAAACCTAAATCCAATTTAATTAAGTTGTCGTTATTAAATGATTGTTAAGTAAAAGAAAAAAAGTATAATATAGTAAACTTACATAGCGAGCTTCCAAAACATCATCTAATCCTAAACCTCTAATATGAGAATGAGCACCAATACGTTCAATTCTTGTGATTTCACGAACTTCTTGAACTTTTGTCGTTGCAATAGTCTATGAATAATAATAAAAATTTGTATAATAATAGTTAAGTTACATCATGCAAGTATGGATCAAACAAATAGTTGCTATGTCAACGTCTTTAAATGAATATTTATAATTAATTTTTCTTACATTTTAACAGAAAAATAATATAATATACTAATATAATATAATATAATATAATATAATATAATATTATATTAGATATAGATAAATACATTAATTAATAAATAAATTTTAAAGAAATTAGTTAACATATATAATTTGGAGGTTATATTATATATGATTGTAATAATTCTTAAGAATTTAATAAATAAATACAGTAAAGATTTATAAGATAAAAAAATTAATTAATATATATATAGATTAATTTATATCTTACCGCCATGGTAACGGTTTACCCACGTGGTGAATATGAGTTTATACTTTAAAACTTTTACTCGTATTTTTATACAGTGATGTCAGGAAATTGGATTTTCTTCCACGCGATTCTTCGTGCGCATGCGCATGTGACGTCACAGCAGTGATCCCAGAGACTTTAGTTCGTTTGATCGACACAGGGGCGTAAAATTATCGTACGCGGCAAGAAAATTATCGTACGCCCCGGGAAAATTTGAAATCTCGAACAAAATTTTGAAAATGTGGAAAAAGTGTCCAAGTTCCAACTTTGTAAAAAAAAAAAAAGAAAGGTCATCAAATTTTCGAAATTCCAAATGGATCGTACGCCACGATTTTTGGATCGTACAGTGCCTCAAATTATCGTACGAATGGGATCGCTGCGTCACAGCTCGACGGCGATTATTTCCATGGAAACATTCTATCTACGTACAACAGTAGATATGCATAAGGGGCCCTTCCCAATTTACCGCATTTCAATTGTCACGGGGGTCTAACGATACCCCATATTTGAGTGAAGTATATACGTTACTAAGGATTAGGTAATGCGCATGCGTGGGAAAAATTCCACGCCCTCATCACCAAATTACATTCCTTATGAAATGTAATATACGTAGAATAGAAACTTCATTGTCTGCGAACACAGCGCGCCACTTTCTAAACTAAAGTTTAAATATTTGTTATTTATTATCAAAGTATTATTATTAAAGTGTAAGATAGATTAATTTATAAAAGAATAACAAAATTTTTTAAATTGTATTAATTTTTTATGTTAATTATTATATAACTTTATTTATTATTTTAGTTATTTTTAAAAACATTACATATATACACAACCTTGTTTTTTTTTTAATGTATGCATTAATGTAGCAAAGTATTTGTTTATACATTGAAAAGCTTACCAAAATAATATTATAATAGAATAAACAAATTTAAATATCATAACCTCAAAATAAGTTCTTTGTTAAAAAGAAACATAAAATTTAAAAAGAAACATAAATTTTGTATAAACAGAAACATATTTAACTTGAAATATATATATTTAATTTATTTTTTTTTTAAACAGTTTTCTTTTTGTTGAAAATATAAAAAATATAAAATTAAGAAATTAATAAAATAGAATACAATAAAATACAAATAAAAAGAGTGGAAAAGTAAATCAGGGAAATTATACTTATGAAATTTAATTTTAATCATTAAATCACTTTTAAATATTAACTTCTTTTATATTTAAATACATCTGGAAATTTTATTAAATCATAGAATTAGAATTGGTTCGTATACATTCAATAAAAATTTCATTACTTATAGAAAAGATATTTAAATGTAACTGAAAAGAGGTAATAATATATTGCTGTCAGCATTGGACAATACACTAAAAATATCTTGTCTATAATGCATGAAAGTAAGACATAAAATGGTAAATAAATATCATTAGGTTAAACATGAAGCATACTAATTGTATAGTTTATTTATAATAAGTTTTGAAGTTATTATAGACAATGTAATAGAATTTTGGAAATAAAAATCTACAGAAAGTATAAAGAAGACAATGTTTAAAAGAAAGCGAATCTTAATCGGTTATAGCCAAGAAAGTATAAAGAATGTTTATAACTATTTAAAATATTCAAGTATTATCAATTTCATTCAAGAATTAAGCCAATATATCATTTAAACAAAACAATAAGTACAAATTTATATTTAAAAAAATGAAAGAGATTGTAAAATTATCATCGTTAAAACATTATCGAAAAGTAAATGTGATGTAGGAAATATGAAATTGCAAATCATTATAACATATGAATGAAAAAATTATTATATACCAATGTAAATTTTTATGTGGATATTCATTTTCTTTTTTATCGGATCATCCCATTTTATACTGATATTTACACGGTTATAATAGAATTTATTTCGAGAACCTATTACAGATTATAAATATAAATTAGAGAATTACAAACTATTTTATACTACAATTTCGAAATCTAACTATTTATTTTTATCTCATACATTTTAAGTCAAAAAATATATCTTATCACAATTTGACGTATATATGAGGAATTTATATAATATTATTTACATGAGGTCTATGTACGAACGTAATCATTCAGGAAAAAAATGTAAAAAAATGTATGCAACATATATACATTTATTTAATAGTATTCGAGAAATAAAATAAATAATTTCAATAGATATTTTCATACATTTGTTGTTTTAATTAATGAATTAATTAATACATATGCACCACACTCACGTGTATTCTAAAGAGATAAAGAAAGAAAGAAAAAATGGATTAATATTTGGCGCTAAAATTAGTTATTTAAACTTTCAAGGGCGCAATTTGGCGTCACATCTTTCATGATCATCATCATCATCATCATCATAATACAAAGATAGCTCTCGTAGATAGTTATTTTCTACTATACCTATAAAGAATTTCGTAACGAGTGAAATATGATTAAAACGATTTAGTCGTTCGTAAAATAAAGTTAGTGAGTGATTTTGTGCCATCTATTCGTCAAGGAAGAGACCGAAGTGATCATGTTATCTTACATTTGTCGCTGTTCGTCTGCCTAAAGTACCGACGATCTTAAAGTCTCAAGCCCTTGTGACCTTTCCGTAGTCCGTGGTGACCTTCAAACGAATCCGAGCGTGAAAATCTGCGGCTCGTCGTCTATCTGACTGAGCTGCGAATGATAGAAAACTGATTTTTTTTCAATACTCGCGACGGAGGAAAGACAATCAAGCGGTAAGAAATCTAACAAATTTCAAACGTATTGTTGATTCTTTTATTTGAATTCCTTTTATATTTACATTATTTCGTTTTCTCAAGTGTTTATATACCGGTAAACATTTTTCATTAACGATTTATTTTCATTGAACTTTGAACTTAACCGATACCACACAAATACACATTATTTTATGAGCTTTTTCCTTATTTTTTCCTTTTTTAAATATTGATTTCATTCATTATTGAATTTTATTCTATAATGAATGAAAATAATCGAGGAATAAAGTCACAGTGGATAGATCTTGTTTTCTTTTAATTTTTTATTTTTTCTTCGACTTTAAATATTAATATTCCATCACGCGTATTAAATGATTGAATTAATTTTCAAACATTGTTTTTTAATTATACATTCATATAATTATATATACATTTATATTTCATTATGAATTAAAGCATTTAACCATGTCTTATAATCTGATATTCTTTTTTAAATAAACCTCAAATGTTTCAATTATAATAAAGAATCTTTTTCTTATGTAAACTAGTGAAAAATGGAGTGGTATAAATCAATCAAATTATTAATTAGTTCTTGCAAACAATTAAGATAATGAATTAAGGTAATGCAAATGATTGAAAATGGTTCAATAAGTGATTGAAAATGGATGAATAAGTATTGAATTTAAAAATAATGTTAAATATATTTAATGTTTATTTCCTTTTAAATTGCAGTGAAAAAATAAACTAGCAAAATGTCTAAAGAACGTGCTTCCAGAAGATTTTACCGTGTAGACAGTACCAATGATTTACTAGAATTCATGGACCGTGGCTATACGGCTCAGCATGAAAATCGTTGGTATTTTGAAGTTGCATGGGAGGCTGCTAACAAAGGTACAACTATTTACAATAAATATTGGTATTTGCAATAGCATATGCTGTTAGTGAACAGAATTTAATAATTCTTAGTATTATATTATTATATATATTTCTGTATTTCAGTTGGTGGCATTTATACGGTGATACGATCTAAAGCTTATGTATCTACCGAAGAAATGGGTGATCAGTATTGTCTTATTGGACCGTATAAAGAATTTACAGCTAGAACTGAAGTCGAAGAGGCAGATTTTCCTCATCATAATCCATTGAATCAAGCTGTACAAATTTTACGCGATCAAGGATTTAAAGTAAATGTTAACAAATTATAAACTTTTAGAAAATTTTAATTACTTAAATATTCTTAAATAATTTCTAAATAATAAAAAAATTATTAAAATATGTTAACAATGATTTGGATATAATACATTTGTTGCATTGATTAACGTGTTAGTTAAACACGCATGAGCATAATCATGATTTGGCTAAATACCAAAAAGATTACAAATATAAATCAAGGACTTGTCTTACGTATAATAGTTCCGTTAATAATTATTCAATGTCTTTAACTAGATGCTTGCTTTAACTGTTCATTATTGTAGATTTGTGTATAATGATCATTCTATAGGGGATACTTAAATTATTTTAATATATAAACTTTTATTGAGGTTGTAACTGGAACATGGCTAGTTGATGGAAATCCTCAAATAATTTTATTTGATATTGGAAGTGCAGCATGGAAATTAGATGAATATAAACAAGAAATGTGGAATACGTGCAATCTTGGTATTCCTCATTTAGATATTGAAGCAAATGATGCAGTAATCCTTGGATATTTAGTTTGTCAATTTATTTCTGAATTCAGGTAAAACAAATTAGTTGATATACTTATTCTTTATAGGATTATCATTTTTGTATTAAGATTTATCTTTTTATATCGCATTTAATAAAATGTTTCAGAAAAGTAGCAGAACAATATTCTGTTACTCCACCTCGAGTAGTTGTACATTGTCATGAGTGGCAGGCAGGTGTTGGATTAATTGCATTAAGAACAAGACATGTTGATGTTGCGACTGTCTTTACAACACATGCTACACTCCTTGGAAGATATTTATGTGCAGGAAAGACTGATTTTTACAACAATTTAGATAAGGTAATTTATATAATATTTGTATATTATTAAATCAAATGAATAATATGTGTTTATTTTATTTATAGTTCAGTGTAGATGAGGAAGCTGGGAAACGTCAAATTTATCATAGATACTGCATGGAACGAGCGGCTACACATTTAGCACATACATTTACAACAGTATCAGATATTACAGGATTTGAAGCTGAACATTTACTCAAACGTAAACCTGATATTATTACACCAAATGGATTGAATGTTAAAAAGTTTGCAGCATTACACGAATTTCAAAATTTACACGCTGTCAGCAAAGAGAAGATACACGAATTTGTACGAGGTCATTTTTATGGGTATGTATTATTCGTTTTAATCGTTAATCACATTGTTATATTTGTTTTGTATTTTTATACTTTATATGTATATATATGTATTTTTTTTCAGACATTATGATTTTGACTTGGATAAAACTTTATACTTTTTTATCGCAGGCCGTTATGAATTTGGAAATAAAGGAGCTGATATTTTTATAGAAGCTTTAGCAAGATTAAATCATTATTTAAAAACATCAAGACCAGATGTTACTGTAGTTGCATTTCTTATTTTTCCAGCGCGAACTAATAATTTTAATGTAGAATCGTTACGTGGTCATGCTGTAAGTAAGACTTATTACTTAGTAATAAAGATTGTAGACATTATTATAAAGTTCAATGATTAATTTTTATTATTAGGTAACCAAAGCATTAAGAGATACAATCACTGATATACAGCATAAAATGGGAAAAAGAATGTACGAATTATGTTTGTCAGGTCGTATGCCTGATGCACAAGACCTTCTTTTAAAAGATGATATTATAAAAATCAAGCGGTATGTGATATTTGGATAAATATATATTATTGATAACATACTGAGCATGCTTTTTATTATATTTAATAATTTTGTTGCAGATGTTTGTATGCTCTACAAAGAAATGGATTACCACCTGTTACTACACATAATGTTATAGATGATTGGAATGATCCAGTCTTAAATGCTATTAGAAGATGTAATCTTTTCAACACAGTTAATGACAGAGTAAAGGTAATATTAAAATAAAAATAATAAAGATAATAAAGGTAATAAAGATAATTAAACTAAATCGTCATTTTTATAGATAGTATTTCATCCTGAATTTTTATCCTCAACCAATCCATTGTTTGGATTAGATTATGAAGAATTTGTTCGTGGTTGTCATTTGGGAGTATTTCCATCTTATTACGAACCTTGGGGATATACTCCTGCCGAATGTACTGTCATGGGCATTCCTAGCATAACAACGAATTTATCTGGATTTGGATGTTTTATGCAAGAGCATATAGCTGATCCAATGAGTTATGGTATTTATATCGTAGATCGAAGATATATTAGTTTGGAAAATAGTGTTCAACAACTTGCACAATATATGTTCGATTTTGCTCGACTTAGTCGAAGACAACGTATCATTCAAAGAAATCGTACTGAGAGATTGAGTGATCTTCTTGATTGGAGAAATCTTGGTATTGTAAGTATATTGAATATTTGTATTTTTTTTGCAATTTTATAGAATACTGGAAAATGCTACATGTTTTATTCATAATTATAGTACTATCGTCAAGCTAGAATAAAGGCATTGACAACTGTTTATCCTGAACTTGCATCGGAGTATGCAGAAGGTGCAGTAGGCAGATTCAGTTACCCAAGACCAATCAGTGAACCACCTTCACCATCATCTTCAAGACATACTACTCCTGCAGCTTCTGTTCATGGTTCTGACGAAGAGGATGAGGAAGATGAAGTAGATGAAGAAAAAGAGGTAAATCTCGTAAAATATTAATTTTCAAAACTTTCCATGTATTTTAATGCAATATGTAATTAATGTCATTATTATTATCTTTTTTTTGTAGCTGGAAGAATTGCGCTCAAATGAAAAATAAATCTGAAAGTTATGATAGAATTATATCCGGAATTGTGTGCATTCGAATATATAATATAATTTATGAAAATTTTTATATTAGAAATACCAAAATATTAATTATTATTAATTTTATAGGGAGCATCCATCATTGCCTCATTCCAACTATATTATTACTTGCTTTTTTTTCTCATTACCATTTACAGCATGTAAAAGATAAAATCGTGAAAAAAACAAGGATAAACGAAATATTGTTTTGAATTGAAAATTATGAACAGTAATTTATATTAATTCAAAAAAAAAAATATTTTTTATTTCTTTGTAGACAATAATCTTTTTATTAGATTGCAGCATAATTTTTGTCGTATTTTTTTGATAAAATGAAAATAAATACAATTTGTAATATATTGGCAATTATGTCACTTATATATTAGTCTTCCATTTAATGGAGAAACTGCAAACAATTTTATCTTTTTATGAATGAAATACGACAGAAATAACACAATCACCTAATATTATCCACGTAAACGTCATCAATTGATAATCATGCGGAAAGTTCAATTTATTCAATAAGTACTTGTTACTAACTATTATATAAAACTGTCCTAATGTATGATTTAAATGAATAGTAATCATTGTTAACTATCTTCGTATATATGTTACCATGAAAGACCGAAATTGGAGAATATGTCAAGATTCATATAGTCGCTTGATGTATGTTCAAAATATTAGTGCATTAGAATATACTCAAATGTTTGTTCGGGTTTCACCATCATGTATTTGGTATGTGCTGATATTCACCATATGAATCTTGACATTTTGCAATTTCTGTCTCACGGTAATGTATACATACTTTATATCAGTAAATGTTAATTTGCTATATACTACTGTTACATATTCTCAGTCTCAACAATTCCGATTAATCGTTTTTATTATCATCTTAATTACAAGTTAACGTTTTAGAAAATTGATATTTAACTCACATTTATTACATGTTAAATAAAATATTATATTATGTTATAAATATGTTACTGATATATAGGAAAATTATATTTTTATCGTAATTGGCACTTAAATAAAATTTCTATAATTTTTAGTTTAAATTTTTGAATGTATTATTATTTTGTTTCATATATATATATATATATATATATATATATATATATATATATATATATATATGTATCAAGCTTTTATCTAATAGTATATATATATAATTTATAATGTTATAAATATAATTTTTTTTCCTTAGAAAAGCAACGAATTCAATGGAAAGAAAAAAAAGAAAACAATAATTAAGTAAAACAAATTAATAGATCATTAATAGTTTAGATAATACACATTATTATATTATTAATTATTAATATAATATACAAAACAAAATGCTAAAAGATATTTATGAAGAATTGTTACATTTGGCATCTATATTTTTTATGAAATCATTTACTATTTACGGAGCTCAAATAAATATGTACATTTAAAAAAAATGGATAACCTATTATATATTCCATAATCTTACAACTTAATATAACGCACATAATATACAAAGCCACTGTAATTTTTTATTATGAAATGTTTTTGTAGATGATATAATATTAATGTAGCATGAGAGTGATAATTTGGAATGAAAAAACGTTCTTACATAATTTAATTAAATATGTCTAGATACGTTAAGAGATTCAGTACTTTGTTATTCAATTTGCATATGTGTCTCTTTTTATGCTTATGGTCTCATTTTCTAGCAATACATATTACAAAATGCTGATACCAGTTAAAAAACTTTATAAATACTAGTTTGTCCCTCATATGTGATTATGATTTTCTTTTTCAAGGAATATAAACCTTGTCTTGAAAATGTTTTTTCTACATTTGTTGAGATATTTTTAATGTTTAACTAATGAATTAAACCTCGAACAAATAAATAATTAAATTTCGTGTAAAACTAATGATTGATTAGCAGTGATGTTACCAAAGAAATTGATTATATAAAATATTTAAATACTACTTTTTTGTTGTTGTATAATATTAAAAAGCAGCATATTATTATATAGGAATCTGTCTTTATGTGTAATGTTGAATGAGATTTGTTAACCTAAATGGCACTTTTTATACATTACATACAACGTGAGAATGTTAAACAAGAGAAGAACTTATAATGTAAACAAAGAAGATAGTATGTTTCTGCAAATGTTAAAATCGTTAAATATTATACAATTCAGATATATTATTCCACAGTACAGTTCCGTCCGTACGAATATGATTATATTAAATAATCGTTTATCAATTATTATTATTATTCAATGTTGAAGGCTTCGCAAAGAGGCTTAGCCATGAAATTCAACCTTTTCTACTCACACATACATACATACTCATATATAGACGACGTCTAATGTATCTTTGAACTACATACAGAAATTGTACGAAATTTTACATAAGGAAATGCAAACATATTTATTCTCTTAACAATTTTGTCTATTCTGTTTATTTAATATTTTTCATAAAATGTTTTTATTAAAATAATTCCCAAAGAGATTTGTAGAAGTCTTCAATTTTTATGATGGAATTATATAAAAAATAAATCAAATGTATGGATTAAAGATATTCTAGATTTAAACTAATGCACTTTAAAGAATTATATGAGAACTATTGTTTACAATTAGTTTTAATTTTGAAATACATATATTTATTGCTTTTTTAATTAGAAGTCTTCTACATTCTTTGCATATCTCTTATATTCACGTATGATTTACTTCCATAAGGTACAATAATCTAAGTATAGTTTGCAGGTCCTTATGATTTCATATCCGTGATGTCATTGATAAAAAATTTTGGACAAGTCTATTGCCAAATTCTAATTGAAATTTATAATGTTTTGGAGCTGTGAGAAATATTCTCAGGAATAATATGTTTACGTGGAAAAATATGCAAGTATAGGTCAATTCCTATGACAAAATATGCCATTATTATAAGGTAACATCAAATTGGTAGTTTGTGCAAATATCGATTGTAAATTTCATTTTTAATTCTACCAATTAAAGTAAAAATATTTCACTCATTTCTTTGTACAACTTTATATTAACAACTATAAACGTTTTCTTTTTCGACAAAAAGAGAAAATACAACACAGAAATGCATAAACTTTTACAAAGAAAATAATGAATATTTCAATAATTCTAAATAGCATTATTTGAAATATATAATCATATATTTGCACTCTACGCTTTTCTATATCTAGAAAGCCTGGTTATACTTAATGTAGTATTCAGTAACTAGGCGTTTTCTTATTTTCTGGCAAGTTTATATTGTATACTTTTTATTGATGACTGCCTAAAAGCTTTTTTTTAAACATTTAGGAGGGGAAAAGAATTTCCCTTTTTACCATAGGTACAGACAACCCCTTTGGTTACATAACAAGAATACTAATATTACGTTATAATACCATTCAATATTTGATAAATATACATATATGTATGTTTGTGGGGTACTATTCTAATAGTCTTTAGTTAATTGGCATTTCCCGGCATATGGCCTCGAGATAAAGTACGCACAAATTCGACACATTTGATTTTATAAATAGGATAAATAAATGTCCTGGAATATAACATATGATATTTTTTAGAGTTCATCCGGTTATTTTCACATGTTGCTTCCTTAGTATATTCAATTTGTATTGATTAATAACAAATACTACATTGAACGACGTTGAAGATATTTCTTCATTTTCAAGTTCGATCCATTATAGTGCTTAAGAATTAGTCGAAAATAATATATTTTGTGCTATCAAGTTTTTTCTTTTCTAATAACACTGTTCAGCAGTTAGTTATTACAAGTTAATTCCTATCAAGTCCCAAGGCTGCATTGCTGACAGTTCCATTGTTTTTTTTTTTTTTTTTTTTAAGAACTAAGTCTATATTAAATTCATTCGAAAAGTACTCACAAAGAATACAATGTACTAGGACAAATGGAAAAGGAACATATGTGTGCTTACGATATGCACTTGGGAGGATCTTGGCAACTGAAATACCGAAATCCCTCTTTATTTATTATTTTTTTGTCTTTTTTCTTTTCCTCCAGAAAAATATCCATATTCTGCACTTAGGAATGTGATCTATAATCGCCGAGAAAATACTTATTCACTCATCACAAACGTCCGTGCTTCGAACATGAATATGATCTATTTGCATTCATCAATTATCATCAGATGGACGGATTTTTAAAAATTATTTTTATGTATGGCTTGACTGTGTTCCTCCCATCCTTTGTTGCATCATATTTAAGAGCAATTCTGAGTACTGTTGCATCATATTCACTACCTTGCCTTGATCTTGGCCAGCAAGTAATTCTTGAAACTTTGCAGTTACTTCATTTGGGGCAACATTATTACTAGTTTCGTCGTTATGATTTTCAACGCCTGCCACGACTAGTCGTAAAGTACGCATTGTTTCATTGACAGAAGATTCAAGACCACGTAACATGGTATCCCTATCGATGGTTGCTCTTGATGGATCATCTTCATTGTCTATAGTTAGACGTTTATACAGTTGTACGACGTTGTCTGCTGTTCGTGTAAGCTCATCCGCAATCGTATTGCACAGTTGTGTTGACACTGTAAAGATGTAATGGCATTACAATTTTGTTTATTACACTTATCTAATATGCATTCACATGTTTAGTAAGATAAATGTTACATCCTTTTCAAATACATCATTTGAATAATTTTATTTATAAACGATTTAAAATGTAACGTTTATCTTTGATATTTAAACACAATAAATAGCATCGTGCAGCGTGCGGGTATATTGCTTCTAAAATCCGTATGAGACCATGCTATTATGATTGATACCTACAAATATGGAAAATGATTTTAGGAGGTCTCCTTTATTTCAGATATTTTTCATTTCTTTTCTATATAATGGTCTAATTTGTAATAATTATTAATATGATTATTAACATGATTTATTTATAACATAGCGAGGAATGACAGAATTTATTTTAAATGAAAAAAATTAGAGAAACACTATTCATAATTATATATAATATTTAAAGATAAAATGTTTATAATAAATTGAACCAAATTTTGGTAATGATCTGAAATTGATAAAACTCAATGAAAGATGAACAAATTTGATAATGAGGTAATACTAAACTAACAATAGGTCAAAGGTAAAGCTATTTATGAAAGAAGAAATAAATGAAATAGGTAGTAACATTCTTTAAAAATTAAATATAAATCTTCGTAATTTTTAAATAAGCTTCTATGACGCTAATGTGTTTAGCAAATATTATCATAAAATTGAAATGCAAGATATAGCAATTATATATACAGCAATCTGGACACTGGATCCTAATTTGTACTATGTTTAGATGTGACCTTGACGATAAAATATATTTTTTTTTTCTGTCATAGCATGATCACTTACAAATTTTGAATACACTCATAGATTTATTATTTTCACAGGACAGCATTCTCAATAGAAGTCTTTAGTTTACCTAACGCTTTATCCGTGCCTACTGTAAGAGTAAAATTTATATTAGATCAAAATATATAAAATTTACGGAAAGAGTTTAAAATGGAATACCAATTATGTGTCCGGATTTGTAGCCACAGGAAATTTTAGTAAGATGAAAAATTTACAAACAATTTTTTTAATAATTCCTTGCAATCTTGCATGCTAAGACTGAGAAAGATGATTTAACCATGATAGTGATTTATGAATATAAGTACTGACATACTTATTTGTTCAGCCATCTCGTATAATACTTACATTCAGCACTGGCTACATCAATGGCACGGTCTGTATCTTTAACAGGTAATTCTTGAGGGCTCGGTTCTAACTGATTTCTGTTTGGTACTGATAATCTTGCACTGCTTTGACCCATTATGTTTCCATTTCCTCGACCATTTGTTATAACACCAGAAGATCCAGATCTTCTAACGCCAGTACCAGGAAGGCATAAACTAAAAAGTAATGATTATATATGATACAATATTCGGACATCTGTGTATGTGTGTGTGTGTGTGTGTGAATTTTTATAATACAATATTATTTACCTAGCAGAGGAATGGTCGATACTAATACTTCTAGGCCTTGGAGGAAGAGCTGGCTTAACACCGTTTCCATTCGACGAAGTATCTTCTGAACTTGAATCTTCTTGATTACCAACTTGACTTAGATTTACTATTGTTTTATAAAATATAGAAATGAGTTTCTAAAATATAATAATAATAAAATTTTAATCAAATATATAATTACCGCTAGAGTAAGCTCCTTGCATACCCCGTCGCCTCAGAATAGAAGGAAGATTATTACTAGAAGAAGAATTAGATTTAATCTGATGATTGATCTTATTTTGGGAACTAATCGTTGGCCTCATCAAACCACTCATTCTATTATTTCCAGATTGATTGCTCCATCCTCTTCCTCCAACTGATACACCAGCATCAGATTCTGAATCACTCTGTTAATGAAATAAACAAATATTTACGGTAATATATTATTTTATGTAATAACATTATTATTTATTATTTTAGTTATTATATATTTAAAATACCTGATTTAATACACCGACACTACTGCTTCTCGTCATGTGATTTGAATGATTTTTTGTTGCTGAATGTCTCGACTGATTACTAATATTTATATTTCCAGAATTACCTCTTGACGACGCATTTGTATTTTTAGTATTTACTTTTCCTGAAACTATTTTATTTAATTATATTATATTTATACCTTAAATAATAAAAAAGATCTTTGTATTCAATCACAGATTTAAATTAATTAAAATGCTTACTACACAAAATTAAATAATAAAACACTTATCTATTTAATATTGAAGCATGTAAAATGAAAATAAAATATGTTTTGTGGAAGGAATACCTTGTACAGGACCATGCAGTAATCTATTTGATGGGCTGACAGAAAGATCACTTAATGAACAGGCACGTCTCATGCCATTCCCTTCTTCTTCACTGTCAATAACTTTTGACGAGATTCGCCCCCCATTACTGCCAACTGTTGACAATGCGCACACACATGCACTAAACTACATTTTGTATATAATGCAAATGTAATATTTTGTACTAACAAATATGATATATTCAATCAAATTAATTATAAAACACAATAAATTCTCTTCTTGTTCTCTTTTTTTTATTCAGATGAGAGATAAATATTTTATAATTCGATAAAAAAAATAAATAATGTATATACAGAATATGTATGACTTTAATGGAATTAATGTATATTATTGTAGCAAGGCAAATGTGGGATAAAAATAGGAAAACAGGATCAATTTGATTAAAAGGATGAAAATCATGCCGCAATTAACAATTCATTCCAAAAGAAGGAAATTGGACAATATAATAAATATGAAGCTGTAACTTAGTAAATAAAGGCATTCAAACTGAAAAGTAATTGCTGTCTTTGTGTAAAAACGAGTTTTCTAATTAAATGTTTAAAATAATAGGTATGTACATATAAAATATATGCAAATATGTATAAACATAGATAATAGCATTTTCTCAAGCAATTAGTTTATATGTATATTGATTTAATTATACACATTTGTATTGCATTCACATTGAAGCTATAAAAATATGTAATATACACCTTTGTATGCATTATTACTGTAATTTTCGCGACAGTTGAATATGCATTTATGTACGCAACTGCTAATACTATTTGCTGGTGTAATTCTATAGATTGTTTACTTAGATTTCAATTTTTTTATACATGTATTGTTATTTATATTTCGTGCTTGCTAATACTAACGAAGGTGTCTATTATAATAAGCAATAAAAAATAATTTCGCACGATATGAAATAGAAAAAAATAGATACTATTCCATGAACAATAATCAAGAATTTAAAACATAAAGAGCTGTAAAGCTCTTACATATATCACATCTAAAATGTTTCATAAATTATACGTATATTAGCAAACTTGTTACTTTTGACTCCGCTTAAGTACCTGCATAAAGATGTTTCATGGGAATAGTTGCTTGATTTATAGTAGGTAAAGTCTTAGTCCACTTCATGTGACTCTGACATCGCGAAGCAGGTGGCCACATCCTTTTAGGCGAATTGGTGCAACTTGATGCAGATGTAGAAGAACCACTTTCCATCAGTGATCTATCCATCGCTGATATATCCGCGCAATCGCTATCTTCACCACCAGAATGAATTCGTATGTCACGTTTGATCGTACATCTACTATCACGTTCAGCTTCTAATTTAGCAAAGTTATCGCTCGTATCTGGGCAGTGAGTTAAACGGAAACATTTTTCTTTCATGAAGTATTGCTCCCTTCGTACTAAATTTTCAAACTCTTTGGAAAGTAACTTTACTGTTCCTTCTATAGCTCGAGTGATTCTTACGTCAACGCTTGCATCCAAATTATCGATACGTGCGTTAGTAGATTGTAAATTGGAATTATTCGATTTCAATTGTGTTCCATGTACATCAGATGAAGATGTAGCATTGGGTTCCAAAGAGTCATAAGTTTCCATTGTATCTTTAGTTGGTATTTGATTTTCAAAAGAACAAATATTATCTCTTTCGTGACTAGTATCTTCTTCCTGGTTAGACATTATAAGAGAAGATTCATTAATATTCTGATGAGAGTATCTGTCTAAAGAATTTTCAGGATTATATGGTGGTATTCCTACTATGTTAATCTTCTTATCGGGTAAACAAGTTTGCTGATTGAAATATATACTTCTTTCGTTTGTTTCATCGTTTGTTTGCAGAGAATATTTAGCAGATTGTAAAAATTCTTCGAATCGTTTTGAATTTGCATCGGCGTCCTTTTTACTTTGTTTAGAATCCTCGTCGTTTCTCGTTTTATAACTTAGATGAGATAAGTTAGCCGGTAAAGTCGCTGAATAATTAATAGGTTCTATGTTTTGTATTGAGGATTGCGATGATGAGTCCATGTTATATTTATTCCAAGCTGGTCTTGCTCTGTTACGCATACTTTGAGTTCGCGATGAATTTCTTTTAGGCTTTGGTGGTTTATGTGCCACAAAATCATTTAATATCAGCATGGAGTGTGGTTCTTTTGGAACCTTTAAACTGTTGCTTCTTGACATGGTGTCAGTATTACTCATCATTCTAATGTCTGTATTTTTTTCATTATCATTGTCGAAATTGAATTCATAATATATACACGTAGCCGGTTGTGTGTTGTCTTCACTAAAATTAATATCATTTTTTGCTTTACACATTCTTGTATCTTGAAGAGATTTCGATCTAAATACTGTTCTACATAAAGTGGCATCATCCGTCGATGTTTGAGTATTATTCGCCGTTTCTATTTCGTTGTTCGGATTTCCACTATACGTTTCAGAATTTTGTCTTTTACGTTTGTAATGAGAATCAAACAACATTTCTAATGGTGCTGACTTTACCAACGAATCAGAGTCATCCGTTAAAATACTTTCTGTACTTCTATGATCCATGTTTTTCTGTAACGGAAACATCTGATAATCGGATTCATCGGTTAGTATACTTTCTTGACTTCTTCCAACTTGTGTTTTACGTTTTGATAAGAAAAAGCTGGCACTGGAATGTCTGTCGTGATCATAATTGTTACAATCTAATATTTCGGCACTTCCTTTAGAAAAAGATTCTACCGATGCATCTGACAATATACTTTCTTGAGAACCAGTTAAAATCCTTCTTTGATAAGTCTGATAATTTGGATAACTTTTATTTTCTATATGACTATCCATATGAATGTTGATTTGATAATCGCTAACGCAACGTCGTGGTGGATTTTTGAAATCACCTTCCAAGGAATCGTCGCTGAAATTTCCATTTCCGTCGTCACCACCGTCGTCAATAGTTTGTTTCAAATTTTCAATATTACGTTCGTTCATGGCAGGCAAGCTTTCAAACGATTTAGCTAGATTTTCCATTTCTTCCTCGTTATCATCAAGACCGATAAAATAACTATAGGATCTTCTTTTTTGTGCGAATCTTGCGAAACGACTCACGTTTTTCTTACAATGTTCTTTCAAAAGTTTTAATTCCTCGCATACAGGAGATTCGGGTAAAGATTGATTGGGCTTATTTAATGACAGCTTATACTTTTCAGTTTTTTTTAATGTCAGTGTTAGTGGACGGTTAAAAGATGGTTTTATTTGTTCAATAACACACGATGTAGTTTTATCATCGGTTAAGCTGCTTTGTTCGTTTGACGTTTCTGATTTGGATAAAGCATTCCCCACACCTTGGGCTTTATTAATGAGTTGTTGAGGTTTAAACGCGGGTTTTGGATTTGGCATAGGTTTGCAAGGATTAATTGGTTTTGAGATTTTGTTTTTTTCACCCAATTTGTTACCTGTGTTAAGTCTACTCGAACGATGATGTTTCTCTGGTATATGGCTGCTTAAATCAGATATGCTCTGGCTGCTTTTCAAAGATGACCTGTACCCTACCTACAAAATGAAAATAATATTACGAATAAATTGATTCTATTTAATCAAGAAAATTAAATAAATGAAAAAAAAAAGAAAAAATTATTTATCGATCGCTTACGCTTTGCAGCTTTCTTCTAGTCTCCTCTATTCTTCTTTGCAATTCCTCACGTTTTTTAACAACATCTGCATCACCTCTGGCATGTTTAGTGGCATTTACCACCGCCGCATTACGTACTTTGTTGCTGCTATTATTACTTTCTGCACCATTATTTATCCTATAATTATGGGAATAACTTGATAAGATGATTATATTAGGTTTAATTATATGTGGAAAGATTATCCTTATTTGATAAATTATTACCTTCCATGAAATTGAGAGCTAATACTAGTAGTTTTAACGCGATTCGTTGGTTCTTCGGCTCCGCTGAGAGACTCGAATGCATTTTTTAAATACTTTTCTCGATGACTTTGTTTTGCTATTTGATCAAAACCTTCCGAGCTGGCTTCTGATAACATAGATAAAGGATTTCTTTCTGCGCTTGGTGTCGATGCTCCACCTTCTGAATCGGAATCATCTTGACTACCAGATGCAGTTAACTCGCTTGTTCGTCCACTTTCTGAGTTTCTTGGTTTCTTCTGCCGCCTTTGAGATCTACGTGATATGAAAATGAATATTGAATAAAAGCAAAAAATAAGCAAATGAATTTAATTTATAGAAGGGAATACAATAAAAGTATCAAATACAAATAGAGAAATTTAAAACGAACCTTCGAAGTTCTTCAACATCCATAGCATTTACTGTAAACTGATTTGATACAGTATCTTCTTGTGGAGGATAATACATTAACCTGTGATGAGATTTCTCTGAACCAGTTGTACCGTTTTCTCCCTCGGAATAATCTTCTACGTCTCCATCATGTTCTGTGCTTTCATGATCCTAAATAAAATAATGTCAAAAATGAATGAAAGACAAAAAAACCAACTACAATGGCATATATTATTTTTCTTATTATCCATGAGAATTGAAGTTAGATTTATTACATAGGGCAATAATAATAATAATAATTATAATAATAATAACAATAATAAAAAAACAAATAAAAGTAAAAATAAAAAAAAATCAAGCTAACGGCACATGAAAAATGCAAAAGCAATAATTATGAAAAAATGTGTTTGCTTACAGTAATAACAAAGTATCACTTATGAAAAACCTTTTCTTTCGAATGATATATTTTCATTTTGACGTGGCTAGAAAGATTTGATCGTAGCTTCTATTCCACGCGCGCGTTGAGAGTATAAGCAAGCAGTACCTCGAATTTAAAACTGCCAAGACTGCTATCATCAGTGTGATGACGACTTCTTGATTGCCGTGTCACTTCGGTGATATTGTTACCTCTAGATATTGTCACGTTACCACCAATCACCTACGTTGGCCGGTCAAATAAAATGAGCATCAAAAAAAAAAAAAAAAGAAGGAAATGCAAAATATTACATAAAAATGTGATAAAGGCAAAATTGAAAATTATTAGAAAGAGAAGACGATTAGCAAAGCAAACAATTATGTACAAAAACAATTATAACAACATATTTGAATCCCATTGATTTTATATGAACAATATTATGATTTAAATTCGTGCATTAATATATGCATGCAAAACAAAAAAAGAGATGCATTGAAAAAGTAAGTAGTAAAGTTAAATTATCAGTACCTGTTTCGATTCATTAGTTAGTTCTCTGTAACTATCTGGACAAGGTTGAAATACATTTTCTTCCTCTTCCTAAAATGAATTGTATTAAAAAGTTAGTGATAATATAAGAAGGCTGTTAAAAGTTAAGTCTTTTACATCTTATATTTTATTTCAGTTATATTATTTATATTTTCAACAATATTAAAATCAATTTGTACTGACCCTTTTGAGTATAATAGTATCACGACGATAATCGCTACTGCATTTAGTTTCAGTACCACTGTCGATAGAACTGTCCTTAGAACCACCACCGCCACCACCACCATCCGAATCGACACTTCCACGAGGTGGTGGGAATGGTATGACTTCATCGCTATCGTAAACTGACTTGACGGTAATACCATCTCCTTGTTGTACTCTTTGAGCCCATCTTCCTTTCGGTAGATCTACGCTAAGCGGTCGGACAGTTGAACCAACCGTCGTATTTTCCTCCACGGTCGTCGTATTTATTTGTTTCTTAGCCCAGAGAGGTAATTGACCAACGCTAAATCTATAATCTACACCAGCATTTTGAGGTGTTGGATTAGCGTTTGGATCGAGAAATTCTGGAGGAGGTGATCCAAACGTTTCATTATCTAGCTGGATTTCAATTCCACTACCATTAACTTGTGGTGGCCTCCTATTGTAAACAGGAAGAATAAAAATTACTTTTTGTTACTTCATGAACAATTTTTTTGTTCGTTTTTATTTTAAATTATATAACATGTGTCTTCTTGTATTAAATAAAAAATATATCTTACTTTCCAGCACGCATTGCTTGCTGAGCGAGTCGAGCTTGCATCGTCACGACCATATCGTGAGGCACACGCCAGACAAATATGCAACCGTCACCACTTGCTGAAACGAGGTGACGACAGTCCGAGCTAAAACGCAATCCCGTCACCAATTCTGAATGACCTAGCATGGTTGCCATACATTCACCACTATAATAATCGTACACACACAAAGTTTTGTCTGTACATGAGGTAGCTACGTAAATTCCTGATGAATCTGTAAAAATTTGAGATATTTTCTCAGTCATTTATTTTGTCGTTTTAAATTATTTTAAAATGATCATCGGGTTTATTTTATCATAAGAGTTGTTGATTGTATACATTAATAATTATAATATTTTCATCCTGAATTAAATAACTAATAATAAACTTTTAATTAAATGTCTTATTTATCATAGCTAGATAGAATGAAGTTAAAGATTTATTTACCTAAGACAACTTTTATGAGGGATCCGTCTTCGCCGACAGATCCTTTGAACGTTTTACTGTGCTTTCCGGTAGTTACATTATAAACCCTAATATTTCTATCTTGGCAGGCAGTTAAAACATGTTTTTGTCCAGAATCCACTTCCATATCATATAACGTTGTCTTTCCCTGAGCGTTATGACCTCTAGCGAATTGTGGCATTCCGCCTGGTGTCTATAGAAAGAAACAAAAAAAGTAAAATGTCAAATATACAATGTCTTATCTTTATTTCAATTTAAAAAGCAAGCAAAAATAAAGAGAAATATCTTACGGATTGCAATTGTCTAAAGATGATACTCTTATCAGCGCCACAAGATACCATTTGTAGTTGATTACTTTGATTCGTTTGATTAAAAAATCTCACGGCAGTAATCGAGGAGCTGTGATCGTCCAAAGTTTGTGAAAAATTGTAATCTTGATCAACGCTAAAGACGTGTATTAGTCGGTCCCTTGAAGCACTTGCCAAAAGTCTCGGAGTTTCCATGGAGTATCGGGAAAACCTTGAATACTCGAGACAAAGTACTTCCGCGTCGTGAGCCTCTATTAAACACAATTCTTCCAGAGTGGAAACGTCATGGATACGTATATTTCCCGATCTAGAATACAAAGAAATATTAAAGACAAATAATACTTTAACACATTAAATGTCCTAATAAGACTGAAAATAAAAAATTGAAGTTAAAAGAAAATAAAACCGATTAACATCGAAATTAAAACCGATAACAATTGATATTATATTATATGTTAAATATAACATAATAAAAATTTTTTTTCACATTTTATTTGCAAAGAATAATTTGTTGTTGATTATATTAATCCGAAAGCAAATTAGTTTATTAACGTATAGTTATCATATAAAAACTCACCTATCACCGGACGCAAGATGTTTTCCATCAGGACTCACTCTTATTGACCTTACACCATTACGACCGTCGTAAGAAGCATCGCTCTTCTCGGTTGATCCAGCAGCAGCTAAATCCAAGTCCTTAAGATACGTTAATTCTGGATCCACGTAAAGGACTTTTAATAATTCCTGTAATAAAAAGTCGAATTTTTTGAATAAATCTAAAGACTTTTGTGTGAAAGAAAACAATTTATTAGAATAAACTAACTTACGCTACTATATATGTTCCTTTTGTACAATGTATCGTTCGAGAATACATCTTTCTCGAGATTCCAAACACGAATAGTGTCATCGCTTGAACAAGTGATGAAACTACCAGGCGGCATAGAGCCAATTGAGTCCGTTCCTGTTGGATACATTTCAACACCCCATATGCATGCGGAATGATAAAGGAAAGAATGCGATTTACCGACCCGTCTTATATCCCTTACATCCCAAACATAAATACTATGATCGTTGTAGACACATGTTAATTTATTATTTTGTTCATCGAAAGCTAACGCTATGGCATCTGGATACCTTGCGTTTGCTGGGTGCTGAGACATATGACTGTAATAATGAAAAATTTACATTTAATTATTATTTCTTCAGTGATCTAAACGCAATAAACATTTCGATTATTCCTTACTTTATGGACAATCCCTGGGCAACGTCAACTCCTAAATAATGTGTTCTGGGTAAAGTAGTGATAAACTGCAACGTACTGGGACTGAAACACCTGACGATACCCTCGGCGCAACCAATAAAAATATACTTATCCCCGACGGCCATACAATTTGCGCTGCTCGTCTAGAATATAAAGGAAAGAAAATAATAACAAATGAATGAAATAAAATCATATAAAAGATATAGTTCATTAAATGAAGAGATAATTGGATCTTTTCTAATATATATATATACATCCATTTTTAAAAAGAAACCTTACCCGAAGTTCGACCCATTTGTCCAAAAGCCTTCGATTATTGAATTCGCATAGAAGGCCAGTTTTCGTGATGGCGTATGTCGAATCCGCCATTTCTCCTCTACCGCAGGCTACATCGACGAAATCGTTGTTTCGTTGTACACCTAATATCGCTGATCGGCCCATCAAAGGCACGGGTTCTTTATACTATTACAAGAAAATACAATATTACGTTATATTACAAATTAGTTTATGTATTTTCTTGTAAAAATTGTTTATTACCTTGGCACTACGTGAATATTCCAGGTACCAAAACTTCACGTGTCGGTTGCCTACTGTTACGAAGTAATTACCATTTTCAGCGAAACATACTGCTTTTACTTTGCTCGAAACTTTGTTAGATGCAACTTTTACGTTGTTTTTCCAATCCCAAACGTTTACGATCATATCGTGTTGGGAACCGACCGAAACCACATACTTGTTACTCGGTGAAAAAGCCTAAAATATATAAATAATAAAAATAGAAGATAAACAAGAATATAATTAAATAAAAAAAAAATATCCATTGGGTTGTTCCCAAAAAGTTTCCGTTGATTTATATTTTTAAATATAATATATAAATGTTAAATATACAGGATTGTTTCGTAATATGTAGGATCTGTTTTATGAGTGAGCAAGGAACACAAAAATGTTAATTCATATTAAAATGTCCGACCTAATAAGTATAACGAAAATGCGTGAAGGAACGATAACAACGGAAGAAAAATATCAAGTACCGTTGGATATTCTTTCATCCAATGAAAGGTGATTTGGTATGTTCGTTTCTCATGTCGTCGCCTTGTAACCGTGCTGCATCGTGATGCACGCAGGTCGAATGTTAAATGAATATTTTTTTTTTTTTTCAAGTGAAAGAAGCCAAGGAGCTTTGAAGTTCGACCGTACTTCGAACATGTTCTTTCTTGCCTTTTTTTTCTCACGATGTTCGAAGACAATATTCGTAGAATACACGAGTGATGTTATGCGAATAAGTAGTTAAGAAGTACTTTACAGTACACATAAAGGTTCCTTAGAATATTCATATTATTTGTATAAAAGTTCTGTTTCTTTTTTTTCTTTCCGTTCTTTTTTTTTCATTAAAATTTATTATATTCATATTTTTCATGTAAACGTGCATGTGTTGATTTATGTATAATATTATAAAAATCAAATGTATTTTCGGTGAAAGAGAGTATAAACTTTTTGAAATAAAATTTCTTTTGGAAAGGTATAGGAAATTTTCAAGCGTGACTAAAAGTGAAAGGTTTCGAGGGGAATACGAGGAAAAAATTAATCATTAATAATTTAGTAATTCAATAAAGTTACCAATATAAAAAACTTAAGAAGATTCACTTTAATCGAGTATAGGTATCATGTTATTTTCTTTTTTGACTTTTATCATTAATCTAATAAATTTTGAGTTTCTCTAGAAACCTCAAATAGAAAACAAAAAAGTGAATAAATTACAAATAATACTTCTTTCCTTCTTAAATTAGCTGTTACATTTGTATAAACGTACGTTTGTATAAACGTGTCGTGTTAAACTTCGATTAGTATTATATAAACAAAAATATTATAGGACAAGTACTTGAGAACATAAATTGTAGTTTAATCTAGTAACCGTAGTGTGTCGTGTTAATCTTCAATTAGTATTATATAAACAAAAATATTATAGGACAAGTACTAAGAAAATTTATATAAATAAGAAATTCAAAATTGATTGATCAAAACTCAAACAAATTTTGTACACATAAGATTACTGCAAAGACTGTGTTAAAACGGGTGGTATGTAAGTAATATTTTTTTAAATAACGAAAAAGTGTTATCCTTGTTTGTCTAATATTTGTATATTTATATATAATCAATAACAAATTAAATCTAGTAAATAAAATTCACGTTTTTGTATATGGTGTGCTTTTTAATGAACTAAAAACTAACCAAACGATTTACCAACCATTCTCACATTGTTTGACTTTTAATGACAAAAATTAGTAATTCAAAGTGGCGATTACTATAATATTATAATTATATTAATCTGGATTAGATATTATAAAAGATCTTCTATATAGAGATCAGTTAATAACTGTATTATTATAATACTTATAATTATAATATATACAAGCTTACAAATTCTACATAAACGTTTGTGTGTGTGTTAATTTCTTGTATAATAATAATTTCTGTAGAATATAATCAAATTTATCCTCAACCTAGAGATTTATTTTTTTCAATAATAATACCGATTAATTCATCGAGAAATATTTCGTTCTATTATATTTAAATATTATAGGTAAAAAATGGAGTACAACGTACGTGAAGATGCTATGCGTTTAGTTGTTAAATATTTAAACATTGAAGACTTGAAAAGTGCGTCTATTACTTGCAGGTATATTTAAAAAAAATATTTTATGATTATTAATATCTTGTTTGATAATATAATTATATTTAATGAAATTTATGTTTTATTATTGGTCTTTTAATAAACTAACGATAAATGTATTTACATGTGTTAAGAATTGTATAAATATATCAATGATTTTTTTTTTTTGATCCGTTAGGTCTTGGTTGGAACTTATTCATGAAGAAATCCAAATAAAAGGTCCCAAAATTGTTACACAAGAAATAATAATAAATCGTTACAATAAGGCAATTGCTAAGAATGATCACGTATTTTTTTCTACTGATATCAGACCGTTTTTACTTTTATGTTTTACCAACAAGGATTGCAATTCTGCTATAGCACAAAGTAAGAATGATTTTGAAGTGATAATTGAGCCGTTCAGTGCACACATCGATTAACTCCACTTTTTGAAACATCTTAAATTTAAGTGTCAAAGCACTTGGTATATTCACAACTTTTTATATTTATAATAACTTTTCTGAATAATAAAGATTAACACCATTAAACGGCAAAATTTTKTTGGCCATTGAATAATAAGTAATACAACAATATACATTATTTCATCGCATTTCTCAACTTTTTGTTTTATGGAGTTAATCGATGTGTGCACTGAACGGCTCAATATAATAGGATTATTTTTTGTAAAAGTAAAAGATTAATTGAAAATTTTTAAGGACATATTTCTCAGCTCCATCCAAAGAATTGCTATATAGCAGAATTGAAAAGAAATATTTTTGAAGATGTTAATACAGTTTGGACGATTTTAATTCCTTATTCAAGTCATCTCGAAATAAATACTATGAACTTTGCCGTAAAATATGAAATGCCAATGTCGGGATTACGTTGGATAGATATCAAAGAAAAAGGAAAATTCTCTTACTTTCACGAATATTTCCAAGAATTAGATGAATTGTCATTTCGCTACAAACAACTTAAACTTTGCTCACCAATCTACCAAACATTTTTAATTTTATTTTGCACATATTCCGATATATCTGATTTAAAGAAAATAATTGCACAATTATCAATTTGGTAATATATATTAGATAGAAATTTTTCTATTATGTAAATAAAAATAATATTTGTATTCATAAAATATTTATAAAAAATCCGTATTTTGTTTTTTTACATAGGTATCCACAATCTGGTCCTATTTGGGGATGTATATTAAATTCAGCTGGAGTATTTCCTAAGAAATTGAAAAAAGTACCACCACCTAAACAGGCAAATATTATACAAATTTATATAAGTGGCATAGAAATGTTAACTAAGGTTTTAATTTTTAATGATGGTTGTAATACCAAAGAAAAAATTGAAAAGGAATTTCAAGATTTGAAAAGTGCAATACAGTTAAAAAAATGCTCTATAGCTTTTATGTGCACATCTGTTGCACGTTATAAAAATTTTTATGAGATAGAATCAACTGCATTCAAAGAAATTTTCCCTCAAGTAAAATTGGCTCATATTTTCAGTAGAAGACCATTCGGAGCACAAAATTTCTACGGTTTGTAAAATTTTTATTAGAAAAAAAAAAATAGAATGCGTTAATATTTATTTCTTTCTTAAAAATAAAAAAATAAATAAAAACGATTTTTATATATATTTTATTTCAGAATTTAATAAATATTTGAGGGATATCAAACCGCACTTAAATTATAACGATACAACTTTTCTATTATTTACATATAATTAAATTATATATAAAATATATAGTTAAAATGTTAACACATTCGTATAAATTGTGTAAATTTTGTCAAAATATAATAATAATAATAAAAACAAAAATTATATTGTTAGTGTATGCAACAGTTAAATAAAGAATTATATCCATATAAAGTTTAAAACAACTATGCTATAATATATTGTGCTTGCGATAAGAAAATAAATATATTATAACATTATTTTTATACTAACACATATTAATTTATTACACGTTTAATCATTAAAATTATGTTTAAAAAAATAGGTCGAATAATAAAAAGTGATCTGAAATAATTTTTCAAAATTACATTTTGTCGAATTTCAATTGTTTTGATACCATCACCTTTTCAAAATTGCGTCTTTTACTAATTTTGTTACTACGAAATCTTTTTGTCTCATTTTATTTACAATTATCATATTTACTCAGAATATAAGCAACCTCAAATGCTTTATTGATACATAGCATAAAGTTGTACATTAACCACGTGCAACCGGAAAATAATAAATGACGAATGGAGATAAGTCACTTTAAAAATAAACTTTTCATAATTCTGTTGATCGGAAAATTTTCTTGTTACAATGTCTTCATGATTTTTAATATATTTGTAACAAATTGCTTCAGAATGAAAAGATCATGTAAAAATGTAATTATTAAGGTAGCTAACTCGATTTTTTTGGAAAATGGAGGTAGGCTACTTTCAAAATAAACGGCCCATATATAAAAATTCAGTGTCATATTTTTACTTTCCAATGAATTTCGAAACTACTTAACCGATCTTAATGAAATTTTTTTTATTTTGTGATATTTTTTTCAACTTAGGATATAGAATAGTTTTTATTGCGATTATTTTTATTTTTTATTGCTAATTTAAGAATTTATTATTTGAAGATTATCTAGGTCTTTAAGTTCTGTAAGTTTTCATCAGATGGCGTTGTATTGCAATTCAATTTAGGGATCCTATAGGAGGGATGCGCCATGTACATTGCTGGGGGACCGGAACTCGATTTTGCGCGCGAATGATTCAAACATTGAAATAATTATGAAATAATGAATTACATCAAATACAGAAAAAAAATGAACTATATTTAATGATAATTAAAAATTTATATTAAAATAGAATAGGTTACACGAAAAAATTATTATAAATTCAAGCGGTCCCCCAAAATTTTCAGCCAATGGCACATGAGCTGAATATGAATGGCGCATCCCTCCTACAGGATCCCTAATTTAATTATTTCGATACATTCACGTCATACGTTTTTTTTTCAGATTTATATATGACAAATCTAATCTTGCTATTTATATTTTTTCATGTATTATTATTTTATGTATTCCATTGTTATTGTGGTATTATTTTGTGTGTTGTTATAATTTATTAAATAGTTTAGAATTATAATAAATTAACGTTTTATAACAAAGCCACAGCTCTGACGCAACCCTGGCGTGGCCAGGGGCACCTAGTATATACATATAAATATTAAAATTGAAAATATATAAAAATTCTTTATTATAAAGAATGGGAATAAACGCGATGATGCTAATAATAATGGAATTTAATTGGAAAAGTATCGGTAATATTTTTAAGTTTGTTATTCGATCTGGTTTAAAGTGACGTAAGTATTGTAATGCTATTTCCTTGGTTTTTACCGTCGTGTCATCCAGATAACCGTGAGTTCTACTATAAAAGGAGTTCTAATTAGCATGTCAGTGATAGCACATAGCGGTGGTAAACTCGTCATAGCGAAGGCGAATTGCAATAGGCGCGGTCTCTTGCTTGTGGCGAGCTTATTCAACGTAATGTTGGATTCAATGCTATGCAGTTCGTTTCAAGTGCTCCTGGCACTCATTCAAAAAAATAATTTTACAATTACGCGGATTTTTCTCTCTCTTTCTTTGTCTTTCATTCTATCGCTCATCACTCTTTCTTTTTTTATTTCTTTCCAATTTAACAAAAAAAAAAAAAAAATAATGTAAATGTTATTCGATCAATTGCGCACCGATAGAACGACGAACCCTTGTAATTATTCAACGTAATGTTGGATTCAATGCTATGCAGTTCGTTTCAAGTGCTCCTGGCACTCATTCAAAAAAATAATTTTACAATTACGCGGATTTTNCATAGCGGTGGTAAACTCGTCATAGCGAAGGCGAATTGCAATAGGCGCGGTCTCTTGCTTGTGGCGAGCTTATTCAACGTAATGTTGGATTCAATGCTATGCAGTTCGTTTCAAGTGCTCCTGGCACTCATTCAAAAAAATAATTTTACAATTACGCGGATTTTTCTCTCTCTTTCTTTGTCTTTCATTCTATCGCTCATCACTCTTTCTTTTTTTATTTCTTTCCAATTTAACAAAAAAAAAAAAAAAATAATTTAACAAACGCTCGACGCAAGGACTCACGCGGAAAAAAACGGTAAAAAAAAGGAAGAAAAAAATTAAAAATTAAGGATAAAAAATATCGTCTGAAGAACGTAATACGATTTGAACGAATGCTTGCTTCCTTCACGAAAATCTGGTCTTTCTCATTAAAGGATATCAATAGGAAAGAAATAAAAATTGGGTCACGGTTATTTCGTTCTTTAAAGCGGTTTGAAAAGTGAAAAGCGATCGTTCCCATCCCTTGCCCCTTTCTTTTATTCCTTATTTCTAAATGATAAAATGATTTCTTTTTTTATCTTATTTCATTTTATTTCGTTAATTTTTCTCGTCGTCATTGAATTTATTTTCGCGAAAAAGAAAAAAGGAATAATAATAATAATAATAATAATAATAATAATAATAATAATAATAATAATAATAATAACAATAATAATGATAATAATAATAAGCAGAAGAATGTCATCGTAGGTAAAAGCAATTTGTTAACTATTCGAGCAGAGTTAAGGATCGTGGTAGAATCTCACCGGGAATTTCATTGCTCAATCGCCAAGCGGGTCTTGAAATCTTAGCCTTAAATGTACTCGTTCCCGTTCGCGTGTGCATACCCTACGCGTAGAACGAAAAGATAGAAATAGAAAGAGAAAGAGATATATGCATGAAAACGGTGAGAAGAGAAAATAATCTCACATGTAAAAGTTGTTGTGCGTTATGCTATTAAATGGAATTAATGTAAGTTAGTATTAAAAGTCAGGATTTCAATCCATTATAAGATTTAACGCGAATGAGACATGATTCATTTTATACGACAAACTAAATCAGAAAATATTCATTCGAACGAATAATCTTATCGAATATTTTAATAATTTAATAACATTTTTATCGAAAAAAATAAGAATTTTAAAGTGTATTTTAATTAATTTAACATACATATGAATTTTATATTTTTTTTATATTTTATATTTGATTTATGTAGTTAATGGGAAATAATTAAATTTTATTATAAAATTATTAAATTTATGTTGTAATTTATGTATAATTTATTTAATATAATTTAATATAATATATTAATTTAACCGTTTGAGTCCCAAGCAGCCCGATCGCGCTGTTCACATTTTATGTTCAAAAAAAAACCCAGTACATTTCGAGCATTGTAGACAACTGACGGTGCGCTCATATATATAAAACAAATGCATACAAGTAGCGCTATCGCGCTGCTTGGGTCTTCTCTTACTCATTTAGAAAAAGCGCGATCGCGCTGTTTGGGATTCTTCGACAGTGTTTTTTCAATACCGTCTGGGACTCAAACGGTTAATATAATTTATTATAATTTTATATTAAATTTATATATAATTTATAAATAAAATTAGTAAATTTTAATTAAATATTCTTATAAAATAATATTTTATAAAAATATATTTTATAAAATTTATTATTTTAATTAAATAATTAAAAATAAATTTTTTTATACGTGAATAAATTTAAATAAATAGATAAAAAAAAATAATAACAGAAAAATTTGGATAAATAATTAGTGGATATAAACTTACCACGCAATTGATGCCATATTTGTGTCCGGAAAATTCGGCAATTTGTACCGCATTATGAGGATCGGATATATCCCAGACCCTAACATTCGGCATGTGTCCGCATTCGCCGGTAGCCAAAAGTCTTCCGTCTCCAGCAAGAGCCAAAGAAGTCACAGTCTTCCGGCAAGCATTGAGCACGTGCGCTTGCGTGTTCCTTCGAGGATTGAAAAGCACGACCGTGCAGCTGCGAATACGAAGTCAAAAAGATTTCTGATTAGTTGGACGAGTTTAATCAAAGGAGTACGAGTGTGATTAACGGTCTTTGTTTCCTCTTTTAAAAAGACTCAGAAAAAAAATAGATGTCGAACATTTTCTCACTATTTTTCCTTTTATCTCTTTTTTCTTTCTCCCCACCCCATCTCCCTCCTTTTTTCCTTTTTGTTAATGCAAAATAGGACATTACTTTCTACTTAATAAATCTTTGAACTATTTGGTCACGGTTGGGACCACACATGAGACATCAAACACCTTCTTCTTCGTTTCCTTCTCTTGCTTGCGTAACGGGTTATTTCATTCTAATCCCAGACGACATGAACAAGAGGATAAACGAAGAATAGGATGGAAAAAGAAAAATAAGGCTGAGTCGACTGAAAGGTCGTACTTCGTAATACGTGTTTCTTTTTTGTCTTTTATATGTGTGTGTTTGTGTATGGATTTCTTGTGTACATGTGATCCATACAAAACGTGCTTAAGAAAGCGAGAGGCACGTGTTCGAGCTTTGCAATGGCTCCAAAACACTCCACGCTCTTATTTCCAGAAGAGAATAATAATTTTTTAGAGATGTTTCTAGCCTTTTTCTAAGTCTCACGAGACGTACCATTTGATTTTAACACGTTCGATAAATAGTACATACACAGATATATTATATATTATATAATATATATACTGATCTTTAATTAAACCACATTTCAAATTATAAATTTTTTTCTAACATTATCCAAATGAGGATAAATTAATAATTTAAAATTGAATAAATAGAACAAACGCGAAATAACACACGAAAAATATCGTTTATTTTTTCGACTAAAATAACATAAAATGTAAATTGTTACGAACCATATATACAGGTGTTTCGTGATATGTGAGACCTACTTTAGGAATAAACAGGGGACGCATAAAAAATTGGAAAAACAAAAGGTAATATAAATGTTTCCATAAACTTTTGTCATTATTGTTGTGCTCCCTGCCTGAATTAGATCCAACATATTACGAAACACCCCTGTACATATAAAATATATATAATATATTTTGTATATATAATATTATATTAAATTATTATAATATATATATATTAATATTAATACTAATAGGGGTGATACAAAGACTAGTCAAATAACCAGTTTTAATTAAATTTTGAATTAAGATTTTCCATTCAATGTCACTGTTTTTCGTGATTTGTCTATACGACAATTATAATACAAAATATTAATTTACAATAACATTATGGATAAAAATAAATAAAATATCGATTGATTTAATGGATGTTTTGATAGAATTAAAATATTTTTCAGTAGTAAAAGAAGAGTAATAATCAGGCCGTTATGTAGATCGAGTAAGTACAAAGCAATGGAATAAATGAATGAATGAATGAGAAGAAAAAAAGAAAAGAGAAGAAAAGAAATTAAAGAAGAGATGGTGTTTCTCTATTTATCAAATCTCGATATTTGTTATTTCCCTTTGATTGACCTCCTTTTTTCTTCTTTTTTTCGATTGGTGTCGAGTACGTTACGTCACGATTACACGGCTCGTTACATTTTCGATCGAATTGCGCATGAATGAACGCTTCCGTATACTCGTTGAAAGAATGACACGGTGATATTATAGCAAGTTATACTCCCGTTCTCGATGTAGACGATACTCGCGTGGTATTTTGCAGTAATTTGAGACATATACTTTCCTCCTCCTCTTCCTCCTCTTTTTCCTTCTTCTCTTCAGCTGTCACAACCATCAATGCGTTGGCGGTCTTGTATTGCATTCGATTCATTCGTCCGTTTCTTCCTTCTTCTCGTCTATTTTTTTTTTTTTTAATCTTTTCTTTCGGACTTAACCGCAACCGTGTCAATAAACTTCTACTTGCGGATCATCGTCTTGTCTTCTTTGCCACATGATGCATCGACGTTCACACAAATTTGACGTATTTTCGTCATTTATAGATTCTCTTACATTAATGATTTTATTTTTGGACATAGATTTTTCCAAATAATTTATTAATAATTTTTAAATACGGTATATTCAGGTAGTTAATAAGTAATATTTGTTTTGTTTTGTTTTTTGGAATATTTTATAGCTTAGGTAATTAGATGTAATAATAGTAAATATAATATCAAGTTGCTTCGATAAGTATAATGACAGAATTATCAGTAGAATCGTATCAAATATTAGAAGTATTTAATATTACTTATATTGTGGATAATTTTTAATTTAAAAAAAAAAAGAGAAATTATAAAAAACATAATAGTATACTTTGATAATAATAGTTTATCCCTATAAAAAAACTAAAACATTAATTCCGTTTACCCATATATTTATAGGGTTTCCCATATAATTGTATTCACGATTTTTCAAATACTTGCGATAACCTGACAAAAAAAATATTTTAAATAAAAGTTAAGCTGTTTTTGATTGATTATACATTGTAATAGAAAAAAGTATGAAAATTTTTTAAAATGTTTTTTAAGGGTACCTTTATTTTGTTAAATGGCACCCTATATCCTTGACCCTATATATATATTAAAGCAAGAAAAATTTTGATATTAGTTAAGATAGAAAAAGATAACAAAACTTATAGGGGATGATCTAATTTATATTAACGAAATATAAAATAATATTTTTTCGGTTTATCACGAAAGAAGATGGAATTGCAAACGCGTTGAATTTTTCAATATTTTCCGTTCTCTCGTTCATCGATACTCACTTTGGTTGATGCAACCCTCGGTGTCTCTTCTTCCTCTGACGTTAAGCTGACTCGACAAGACACATAATGTCAAGTGGCATCGACCGACGGTCGAATTAAAGGATGCTTCGTTTCGACGAGTCTGCATTTCGTGACTCGTACTAATCGATTTTCTATAAGTGTTTCTTTTTTCTTTCTTTTTCTTTCATTATCTATTATTAAGATACGCTTACAAGTTTCATTTAGACAGCATTTATTTCTCTTACTTAATCTTATAATTTCATTCTAGTATCACTTTCAAATATTTTTATCCGAATCATCTGTGTCTTCTTCATTATGTATGATACTATTAGGTGTTGGAATTAATTCGTAGCGTTTTACGAAAAATGACAGATATTACACTATCCTGTTTTTGCCTTCAGAAATAAATTTATCGTAATTCAGCACTTATTTGGTGTGCTTTTTACGACACACATCTCATTTTGAATTGTTAATGACAACAAGTTGTAATTATTTAAATATATTGATATTTGTGCGAAATAAAATGTTTTGCAGGGATTTTTATTGCATTACTTTAATATGGATTAAAGTGCTACGGAAAATCATCGAATTTTTATGGTGGCCATGCTGTAACTAAGAAAACTTGTCGGAAGTGTTTTGCACGTTTTAAAATTGGTAAAACGTAATATTCAGGAGCCGAGCTCTTCTTTTGTATTTGGTGGGATTAACAGGGTTTAGTTTATTATAAACTATTAAAACCATATAAAACTATCACTGGGGATCGTTACCGATTACAACTAATGCGCTTGAGTCGTGCATTGAAAGAAAAACAGCCGAAATGGAGCGAAAGGCACGATAAAGTTATTTTGTTGCAAAAAGAAAAATAAGAAATTATATATTCTAAGTAAAAATGAATTTTATTAAAATAAAGTTTAATAAAATCAAAATTCTTTATACATATAATATATTCGCATAGGACACTGGATTACTATTATAATTCTTGACCAATCATTAAAGTCAAGCAATGTGGACACGGTTTAGTAACATGAATAGGTGACGGTAACAACTACCTTTAGAGAAACCAAGTTAAAAACCGTGAGCTGCTGACTCTAGAAAAAATAGGAGGAAAAAAGATGCAACCTCTTTAGTAGTATTTTAAATAAGTATGATGAAAACGTGTTAGTAAAGAAGAGTAATTTAAAACCCATAAAAAGGGAGAGTAAAAAGTAAAAAGGTAACAAAAAAAATTGAAATATAAATAAATGATATATAAAAATTTATTATTAATTCCCACCCTTTTTATATTGAAATTATAATTACGGAGAAAAAAAATTTGATTATATATTTAAAATAATAAAAATATATGTTCCAATTTATATAATGAAAAAAGATAATTAATGAAGAAGGAAATAGAGAGTAGTTTATTCTTGTTTGTATCAGACAAAAGCTTATTCCTTCAACACGATAGGATCCTCAATGTTGAACAGAAGACAACTAATCTTTTTTTTATTGGATCTTCTACGAGCTACTGAGAAAATTTTTAGCCATCTTTTTCTTTCCTCTTTTCTCTCTCTTTTTTTTTCTCTCCGTCTCTCTTTATTTCAATCTTGGCAAATCGTTTTTCTCGATCGCTGTTGGCAGAGTATTCTCTCTTCGTATTCCTGAACCGTGCGAGGATCTACCATTTACGTAGGCGCGAGCAACTTCCGTTTCTGCTTCACTTTCAACCGTGAAAGACAAGAGCCTGACATTGACGTACGATAAGCAACAGAGGTTAAAGAACTCTCTTACACGTATTTTATTTTTTTTTATTTCTTATTTTTTGTCTTAATTATTAGAAAAAATCCATTATGGTAATATAAATGAAATAATGGTATCAATTATAAAGGATAAAAAAAAGGAAAATTTTTACCTTGATCGATACGTGATTTAATTATTTTCAAACATTTACTTGATAAATTAATTATTATACGATCGACTAATGTTATTGCTTTAATAAACAGTTATTATAATTCGAAGATAGATGATTGTATGAGAGAAAGTGTCGTAAAAAAAGCTTTTCTAATTCTTAAAAGAAATATAGTAATAAAAACATTTATAATTATAATATAAAATTTATCAATTTTAATTACTGTATTGATTAGAAATAATCAGAAAAAATTAGAATTAATTCGAAAAAAAAAAATAAATTAAAAGAGAAAAAGATCAAAATTTAATACAAAATATACGGACGATAAATTTTCATATAGTTAATTTTTATTTTCTTTTTGTACAAAAAATATGATTAATTA